GTGTGTGTGTGTGTGTGTGTGTGTGTGTGTGTGTGTGTGTGTGTGTGTGTGTGTGTGTGTGTGTGTGTGTGTGTGTGTGTGTGTGTGCGTGTTTGTGTATATATATGTTGTGTGTGTAAGTAATATCCCAGTTGCACAAACTCAACCACCCATATATACCAATATCTACCTACCACATACATACCGTCAGTACTACGTAGAGCACCAGCAGATAGCCTATCCACGTGAGCAGCCATCGTCCCCAGCTTTGCATCACCTCCACCTTGACCTTAATGGCGTGGGTTTCATTTGCCAACACCAACCAACGCCGATGAAGCTCGTCTATCTGTGGCACGAGATGCTGCAGGGAATACATCCGAGTCAGACACACAGGGTATGCGCACAGGAGACTGTTTATCAGGCAATACATAAGTTCAATTGATGATGGAGACACATAGGAAACTAGATACAGCCCGATATATGGATAGATATATTAATATATGCACGTATATATATTAAATGCGTAAATGACCAAGCATGAGTGTATATGTACAAACTCATTTTTATATATATTTACGATTATTTGAGTCAAATATGGATATATGTACTGATGTATGTGTATGTGTGTGTGTAGGAAAACGTAAATAAAACATACGTAGGCACGTATACGTACGTTTAAACTATTGAAACATATATACATACAGGTATGCGCATTTTTGTACGCAACTTTGTACAAAATCACCGTGACCTGTTGTATGAGTGTCGTCGCGCAAACAAGGCCAGGCACCTCAATTGATGGTACTTCGTATACATCGTATACATACTGTTTCATACACACACCTCTATCTATAGAAGCACGCGTGATACAGTCAGAGTTCATTGCAAGCGTATCATGCAACTATCAACACACGTATGTATCACACAACTATCAACACACGTATGTATCATACAACTATTAACACATGTATGTATCATACAACTATCAACACACGTATGTATCTTGCAACTATCCACACACGTATATATCATACAACTATCACCACACGTATGTATCATACAACTATCAACACACGTATGTATCATACAACTATCCACACACGTATGTATCATACAACTATCACCACACGTATGTATCATACAACTATCCACACACGTATGTATCATACAACTATGCACACACGTATGTATCATAAAACTATCACCACAAGTATGTATTTACAACTATCAACACACGTATGTATCATACAACTATCCACACACGTATATATCATACAACTATCCACACACGTATGTATCATATATCTCAGCACCCACCGCCGACATCGACTACAAGACCATCCACGAGACATACTTGTTGTATAAACCGATGTTGTTTGCGCAAGGCCTGGCCCAGTTTGAGTACGCTTGCCGTGTGCATGGCTGCGTGGGGCACCACGTAGCGCTCGTGCAGCTCCTCGAGATATCTGGGGGCATAACGCGGCAACAGAGGGTCGGGTGAGAAAAGGGATGCATGGTTACAGTCTACGTCCCGGTTTTTCAGATAGAGAAAGCGGGATGGAAGTGGGAGCATGGCGCAACAACAGAGAGTGTCGGGTGAGGATAAGGATGCATGGTTACAGTCTACGTCCCGGTTTAGCAAATAGAGAAAGCGGATGGAACTGAGGCATGGTGAAACAAAAGAGTGTCAGTTGAGATTATAGATACACCATGTATTACATACCACTTTAGATATAGTGAGTATAGCGTATATACTGATGAATTATATGCTACTATAGATATGATTAGGAGGTGGTTAGTGAGTCTATAGTTATGATCTAGGAGGTGGTTAGTGAGTATAGCGCATATGCGGATGAATTATGTGCCACTATAGATATGATCCGGGGATTGATAGTTTATATAATGATGCTACATACCATTGAAGGTGTATGACAGGTCACAGTCATCTATCTTAGAATGGTAGGTACTTCTAATTCATCCCGTTCTCATTTTCTGCGAAACCGTAGACTAGACGCTATACTCACAAACCACCCCCTATTTCCCACTCACTACCTACCCCCTATTTCTCACCTGCTATTCTCCTCCGCATAGGCCTCCAGCAATTGCATTTTGGCGTCGAATTTCCAAAACACTCCCCCAGGTTGTTCCTCGTCTTCACCCAATTCAAGTTTAGGTGGTTGTATGGTCAACTCCAATTCATTGTCGTTGTCCATCCCGCTTTCGCTGTCTGCCAACCCGGGATGTAGACCCGGAGACAGATGGGCGGTGTCAAGATCGAGATCGTCCTCCCAGTGTTTCTCTGCGGGTAGTGGAAATGTGCACTTGTGTATATTTGTAAGTATGTTTATCTGTGTGTATGTACGTATGTATGTATGTATGTATGTATGTATACATATCTTTATGTATGTATGTATGTATGTATGCATATTTTATGTATGTGTGAATGTATGTATGTATGTATACACGTATGTATTTATGTATATATGTCTTATACGTGTATTTATGTACGCATGTAAGTATATACGCATGTGTGTATGTGCGTATGTATGTATGTATGTATATGTGTCTGTACGCATGTGTGTACATATATACTATACTTCCCGTGAACCCGCTACAACACGATGCGATCTGGGTTGACAACACAATCTAATTTGAATATATGTACGCACACCTATGTACAAACAAATAGCAACTACACACAGATAGCGCAGGCATGAAGAGATGTCACTGGCGCAGGAACAACTGGTAGATGGAGAGAGGGTGCGGCACACGCAAACATGTCCGTGCATGTTATAAATATACCCATACATTTATGATCACACATCATTATGTCAATATCTGTATATATTGAATGGGCGAGCAGCTGGTACAAAAAATGTTTTGTATATATATATATGTGTGT